CACACCTTAAAATCAGTGTTTTAAAAACACCTTAAACCAAGACTTTCAACTTTAAATATAATAACACCAAAACACCTTAAATCAAAAAAGAGTCTTTTGGAAGATCTGGGCAACTACACAGCCGTTATAAGTCTCTTCGCTGGTTTGCGCGCACAGCACAGGTTGCCAGCTTAAACCATGCCCTGCAAAACCCGTTGATCGCAAGCTACTCCAACCGAGAACACGCGCGCGACCGCCGCGAAGCATTCCCGCTCCCCATGGCCATTGTCGTCGAATGAGAACGCCATATATCACGCGGCCCGATGCACCGCTCGCACTGCGCCTATGGCTGGGAGCTGCTTTGCTCTGCATCCACACCAGCCTGCGCTGGGGAGATGCCCAACGGGTGGAATGGAGCTCGCTCAGCATTACCCCCACGCGCCTGCACGGCACGTGCTACAAGACCAAAACCAGCTCGTCGCAAGGCCAGCCTTTTGCCGTGCACCTTTGCGGCTTTGCCGGCCACCTGCCCGGCTCCTGCTGGGTCCTCGCCTGGCTGCGCGCGCTGAGCCAAGCCGCTAGCCTGCATGCCATGGCCCGCCCAGACTTTCTCTTCTCCCTCGCGGACATGCACCAGCCTGGCCTGCCTACACTCTGCCCAAGCAGCTATACCACCACACAGCCTGCAAGTCCTGCGCTGTGGGCAGCCACCTTGCCTTGGCTCCGCCAGCAAGACGCAACCTGCCCGAAGCACTGCTCGCGCAAGAAGCGCGGGAGCTCGGACTTCACAGCCTCAAGTCCGCCTGCCCAAAGACGACCGCCTGCACCAAGGCCACCGCTGCGACTCTGCCCGCCTTTTACAGTCGAGACGACACCGTCGCCAGCTCTTCACTCAAGAAGAGCTCTCCGATCCAGCCCTGCGCCGCTGGATCACGCGTCTCGAGCTCATGCCTGCATCGCCCTCGCCTCCAGGGCCGCCAGCGCCCCCTTCTCCTGCAACTGAGGAGGCCGCAACAGCCAGCGCCGACCGCGAAGCAGCCGCAGTGGCCCGCTGCATCCGCCAACTCAGCAGCCGAGTGGGACGACCAGCCCGCCCCCTCCTCGCCCGCAGCTCCTGCCTTGACCTGTGTCACTACTGGCCCTTGGGCGGCCGTGCGCTGCCTGGACCCAGACAGCCACGAAGCTTTTATCGGCTAGCGCCCACTTTCTTACCCCGTACAACCCTCACGCAAACCTCTGTGGCAAGGCCGCCTGCATCAACGCCCGCAACCGCTACCTTGCCGCGCCCTAAGAGCTCGCAATAACCCTGCCTGCTCGATTGCACCTTTTTAGCATCCCACTCGCCTGCCCGCAGCCGTTTACTGCTCTAGGCCCTGTAGACTGTGCCTGCCATGGCCGACCCACCCAACCAGGCGGATCCTGACGATCCTGTGCTTTCAAGACCTGTCTAAATCCGTAGGCCTGCCCGCCCAGCTCATATAAGACCATAGCAGATTTTGGTTATAGCCTGCCAGCCCTGGACTCCCTGCCACTACTGCTCGATGCCATCCCGGGGGATGTGTGGGAGTCCTTAGATGCGCCCGTGCCGGCCATCTCGCCTGCCACTGGGCGCCTGCGCCGCCTGCTGGAACGCTGCCACCAATGCATTGCTATAGCCATAAGCCCACGCCAGCACCGCCTTCCAGCGACCCCGCCCCGCCTGCACCGCCGCAGCCTGCACTCAACACTTGGGCAGAGCACGCCCCGCCACGCCTCAGCAACACCGCCGTGCAAAGCATGCGCGACACCTTCGCCGCGAATTATCCTGGTGAGATTCTGGACCAGGATAGCATGCCAAGCCTGTGCCTTCTGAGCATTATCCACCAGTGGCTTCGCCCGCCCGACGGTGCCATCAAATGGGTGCCATGGCAGCTACGCCTGAGCCAGCGCCAATACCAAGAAATCCTCGAAGCCCGCACGCACCGCATGCTACGCACAGAAGCGCAACTGGTCAGCGCAGCCCTGCTCGACGAAACACCGGAGATTCCAATCTCCAGCATGCACCTGACCCCCGCCTGGCTCGCACGCACGCAAGCTGTGTTCCGCAATGCCATCGCCCTCTGCGGCGGCGCGCACCTGGCAACGCTAAAGACCTTCGACAAGAAGGTCTTTGACTACGCAACCCAGAACTTGCCCGCAGACACGGGCCTCAGAGCCGTCAACCTGCACGAACTCCTGCGTGCAGACCGCAAGCTCTGGAAATAGCCAGCCTGCACTCCCAGGCAGGGCTGGACCCTGGACGATGCCACGCACGAACTCAGCAACGTTCGAGCAGTTTCAGGCAGGAGGTGCGGGCGGCATGGGTGCTGGCGTCTCCTCTGTGTACGTGTAGGCGGGGTGCTTCTTGCCGCAGGCTTGGCTGTTGGGCAGCTTGAAACCACAGATGTGGTGGTGTTTGCAGGCGGGGTCAGTGCAGGTGCCCTTGTTGTAGCGCAGGCAGATGATTTTGTTCCCCTGCTTGGTGGCGAGCTGGGCCGCGGGCGTAGCGGGCACTGTGCGGCCTTCGCGTCCCGTTTGCTTGGTGGGCTGGCGCAGGCCTTTGCCTCCCCCCTTGCCAATGCGTGCCGGGTCTTTGCCTCGCCTGCCTCGCCGCTGCAACCGCCTGTGCCGCCCCCTCACCCCCCTGAGCCCCCGCCTGCCGCACAGCCCCTACCACCTGCACCCGCACTCCCCACCCCGAACAACTCCCCTCCGCAAGCGGCCCCGCCTTCCACGTCCAATGCCGCGACAGCAGCCACCGGCGCCCCGCCCGCGCCAGCACCCGCAAGCACAGCAGCCCGCCCTGCACAGCGAGCCTTCTGCGAGCTCTTCGGCGGCCAGCAAGGCTTGCTTGCTCACCAAAACCCTCGCCGGCAAAGGCTGCCTCACGACCCCGCCGATGGACCGCATGCATGGTTTTGACATTATGCAGCCGGGCAGCTTCGCCAGCCTGCTCCAAATGTGCTCCGCCGGGGATATTGGCACCTTGTGGATCACACTCCCTGCAAGCGCCTGGATGCCTCCCGCCCACAGTGCCTCGCCTGCGTCCGCCATACGCAGCGCCTCTCACCCGCAAGGCCTGCCCATGCTGCCCGAGCCGGCGCTGCAACGCCTGAGAGAATCTAGCCAATGTCTCAGGAACTGCCTCGCACTGCTGCGCACCATCAACGCAACCGGCGGCAACTTTTTCCTGCAAGCACACCCAGCCAGCACCATATGGCTGGACCCAGCCCTGGTGCACGCCCTGCAAGCCTCGGGAGCCCACATAACTGCCATTGCATTTTGCTCGCACGGCCTGGATCACCACGGCTCCTGGCTGCTCGCCTCAAACTCCACTACTTGCACGCACCTTGCAGCTGCATGCCCGCGCCCGCCTGGCACGCACCGCGTGGTCATGCTCAAAAACGCAAGCGCGACGCACAACCGTCGGCCCAGCACAACGCCTACCCTGCCACCCTGCTACAGGCGCTGGCCGCCAGCATCGCGCCACTGCTGAGACACAAAGCACATATCGATCTGCTCCCTCTGCGCACTGCGCCGCCTGCGCCCGCACCAACACACCCGCCCAGGAGTGTGCGACGGTGCCGGCCTGCATAGCTCTGCCGATCACTCCAGCCCGCTCCTACAAGAAGCGCCCCTGCAAGCCCTGCGTCAAGCCTGGCTCGCCTGGGCATCCAGTCACGACCTTCCCAAAAAGGTCGCGGCCCACCACATGCAAGGCAAGCCCGAACACCCCCTCACAGAAGACCAATGCCTGCAAGCAGCGCGCATAGCACACCAAGTGCTTCGCCCCAACTGCAGCGACGCCGCCTGCCTTGCGATCGATCCGGGACAGCCTTTCCGCCTGCAACTTCTGCAACTACTCTCCTCTACAACGGGGGATCCCGATGCCGATATAGTGCAGCTAATGCTCGCCGGCGTCCCAATGGGTGCCTTCGAACCCCTGCCAGCAAGCAAGCAGTGGCTCCCGAACACTGACCTGCCTGACGAAGACCTAGCCCCGCCTGCACTGCTCCATTGCGAAGGCAATTGGAAGCGAGCCGAGGATAACCCGGAACTCCTCCAAAGCCTGCTCGCAAAAGAAATAGAAGGCGGTTTCGTCAAAGCATTCGACGGCGACGAGGCCGCAGCACGCCTGCACTGGCCAGCAGGCACTGCAATTGGGAAACTCAATATCGTCTTCGCAGACGAGCGCGATGCACGCCTAGTCCTCGACAGCTCCGTCTGCAACCTATAAACAACAGATGCACGCTCCCAGAACGCATGGCCATGCCTGCAGCTAGCGATGTCCAGCTCACCTTCGCACCGCAAGACCCGCATGGCATATGGGCCGCCCTTTGCTTAGACTTCAAGGCGGCACACAAACGCATGCGCGTGCACGCCCGCGAGCAAGGCACATTGCTTTGTCGAGTGGCCGAGAAGCTCTACCGCTACACCGTCTGCCATTTCGGCGCTCGCTTCAATTCCTACTGGTGGCAGCGCGCCGCAGGGCTTATCACCCGCATCCTGCATGCACTGCTCAGCCCCGCACCGCACCGCGCATGGATATATGTAGATGACTTGCTCCCTATGCTTCTGCGAGCCAGCCTGCACGAGGACGCCTGCCTCATAATCCTCCTGCTAGCCAGCATCAATGCCCCCATGAGCTGGAAGAAAGCACAGCTCGGCGACACAGTCACCTGGTGCGGCTGGACCTTCGATCTGCACGCACAGCAAGTCTGGCTAGCCGCCACCAAGCTGGAAAAGCTTCGCACGCAAATGCACGCTCTGCTGCAGCAACACCCGAAAAAATGCGCACGCAAAGCCCTGGAATCCTGCCTGGGCCTGCTCATGTGGGCCACATCACTCTGCACCTTTCTGCGCCCCATGCTGAGCACGCTCTACCGCGACCTGCACAGCGGCAAAGGCACCCTCAAGTCTGTGCCAGCGCGCCTGTGGCAACAGTTCCTGCACGCACTGGACGACTCATGCAAGATTGTCCCGCCCGGCCTCTGGCTTGCGCGCGGAGCCCGCATCGTCGCCGTGGGGGCACGCCACATAGCCAGAAAAGCGGACATACCCAACGCGCCTGCCACGCATAAGCCCACACCTACGTCCGCGTGCAAGACCCAGCACGCAACGAGTGCCACCTGGGCAAAGACAGCCAGGCAGCTCTCACATGGCTACTCTCCTGCATGCAGTTCGCGCCGCAACAACCCCTGCAGCTAGCGCCCCTGCTGCACGGCATGTGCGCGGCCGACGCCATGGCCCAGGGAGACACAGTCGGCATCGGTGTGACACTAAGGTCCCACCGAGCCGCCTGTCTCAGCCCCAGCCTCAGCCGCCTGCTTACCAGCCTTGGGCCGCCTGCCCTGCAAGAGCCACGCCAGGCCAGCCCGCACAGTAGCCCTCACGCGGCTGCCTCAGATGCTGCCAGCAGCGCCCGCGACGGTGGGGGTTCACAAGCTTTGCAGCCTACGGGCACTGCTCAGGTCTGAAGTGGGGGCCCGAGTCGCCCGCTCGCGACCGGACTCCGAATCCTGAGCAGCACCCGTGGAAAAAAGTGAGAGAGCTTTTGCATGCATTGTCGGCAGTTGACTAGAGTACATGAACACACTAGAGAACGCTCCACGTAACCTTTTCCTTTTTATGTTATCGTGGTGTTTTCTAGCTTGTTGCTTGCACGCATGGTCAACAGCATTGCACGCATGGTCAACAGCAGTTCATGTAGCTCTTTCGGCTGCAGACACGCATGCGCATGGACATTTTTCACACACCGCACCCACCCGCCCGTGTGATGCTTTGCAGCTAGCTCCGCCTGAGCTAACGCTAACCTCATGACGCGCGCCATGCTAACGCTTTGCCTAGTCTGGTTTCACGCCTACATGCTTAGTAGTTTCACAGAGACGGGGCCCGAGTCGCCCGCTCGCGCCCGGACTCCGAATCCTGAGCAGCACCCGTGGAAAAAAGTGAGAGAGCTTTTGCATGCATTGTCGGCAGTTGACTAGAGTACATGAACACACTAGAGAACAGACGGAAACCCTAAGGAATGAATCCAGTGAGAATCTGTTGCCGAACACGACAACCCTGAGGAATGAATCCGGCAGGAACTTTTTGCCCAAGAAGGAGGACAGTCTTTTGTCCAAACGAGAACCCTGAGGAAAACCCTGAGCCCTGGAGCCGGGCAGGGGCACCGTAGCCGCATTTTTACAGTACGTAATGGACCCTGGGTGTGCCCTGGATTCACAAAAAGCGTGAGCGTGCCTTGGATTCAAATTCGTACCAGTAGTGGTTGTATTAGCGGAGGGAAGTGGTAGGTAGGAGCAGCCGCCGCAGCCATGCTGTCTTGGTGTTGAGAATTATCCGGAGGAGCTGTCGCTCGGTTGTTTGGTGTCTTCACCGTTCTTTGATGCATTGGCAGACACTTGGATGGCACAAGCCAGGTGAGAATCTCAAGTACAGGCCTTGATCGCTAAACTGCAAATCGAATTTTTTGCCCCCAAAGCCAAACTCAAAGCTGCAGACCTGAAGTTTGAGACGCGTGAACGACAACATATCGAGAGATTGTGTGAATATCCGTTTTGGTATTTGAGGATCAGGGCTTTTAGGGCTTGTGTCAGGGGTTTTGCCACTATTTTCTTTGCTGGTGCTTTGTTCAATGGCATTAGCAGTTGCTGCTTGCAGCTGTCATGTGCTGATGTGTAACGTCATTGCCTTGCGGTCGTCGTCATATCGCCGGCGTCGTTGGTGGTTTGGTGCAATGTGGATACCATTCGGAATGCGCTCCTCATCACCCCTTGGAAAGATTTACAACCAATACTTGAAAATTTGGTGGGGTTTGCATGAAACCATTTACAGACGGGGAGAGACGTGGGAGACCAGGCCCGTTCCAAGGTAATCCGAAACCTCTATGTCTCTCCCAGGCATTCGTGATTCTATTCAACTCGTTCGTGGTCGGCTGGGAGGTGGAGTGGGATGCTGCCAACACGCAAGACAATCCCGTCATTCAGGCGGCTGATGTTATCATTAGCAAAGGTTGGCTTTTCCTGTTCAGAGTGCTGCAGTAGTTGCCACAACAAGCGGCTAGACTCCCTTTCTGGAACCCTGCATTTCATGAGTTCTAGGCCACCACAGCAGCAGTGGTTTCAGCAGAGAAGTAGCGAAGAGCTGGAGCAGAAACCCTACAGCCTACATCCGACACTCCAAATCCAAAAACAGCAAGTTCCCACGCCCGGAAGTGTGAACCAGCAAGTCTTGCTTGGTAATTTGGCAGAGCACATGACGGCCGTTTTTGCATTTCCGAAACAGACAACAATATCAAGACCGGCCACCTTGGATAGCGAGACTGTAGAAGCGCAAAGCAGCTAAACCTCAGACACTAGGCCTAAACTCCATTTTGGACACTGGTTCTCAACCAACATTATACAGACTCTGATTCACCGAACAGAACGGTGCTCCATAGTTCCTATAATCACCTACTATCTTAAACCCTGCATCTCAAACCTTCAGAGTCGCGGACGTCCACGGCAGACCCCGACAATCCGAGCCGTCGAAAAGAGCAGCAAGGTATGGGGTTTAACATGGTTTAACCTCAGCACTTGTCTTGGAATGTTGCTGACCGTATTCCGATCACTTTCAGCGTCTCTCGGGGGCATGGGTCAATGTTCTGCTGGGGTCTAGGAGTCTAGGAGTTCCAATTCTCGGCCTTGCTTCGCCCCAGCCTCGCAAGGCGCATCCTACATCTCTAGACCCAAAAAACCTTCCCGAAATACTACAATCTGAACCCTAATTCGTAAGACGCAACACTCCTGCAGGCGCTTTCTTCCTTCTGCAACTTCTTCTTCCTTCTGGAGGCTTTAGGGTTTAGAGAATCGATTTTAGGGTGTTGGATGCAGGGCTTGGGGTGTAGAATTTCGGGTTCAGGGCGGCAGATTTGTCCGAAGTTGTTATGCATGTTGGGAGCTTGAACGTCGTCCGGGCGCTAGGAGTTAGAGTATTGAAGGAAGAAGTTCAGCTGTCAGTGCTTCGCATTCGCATCCTGCCCAGTGCTCATAGCACCGAGGGTTCAACTGAAGATTCTCTCATGCCGAACCTTCTTGGATAGGATGCGATTTTTTGGGACTGGCGACGGTCAGCTGATCACATGAACTCAGCCTCCACAAGTCGCATCCATTGACTTAGTCTGTAAACTAGCGATTCCAGTAATCATGCGAGCAGACATTCGGTGTTGGAGTCCACGGCTGAACATGCAAGTACAAGTCTCACCGTCCCCTCAGCCTGAAACTCGTCTGCAAACCCGCAAACGTGGGATGACCAGATGATAGGATTGACCCGACAGACCCTTACCCACTATCAACACCCATCGTGGGTGCTTTGCTCCGGCGTTTTGATATGGGTTCTCCGACGGCACGTTCATGGGCGCCGGACAGACCCCGGCGGCATAGGTACTTGTAGTGTTTGGTGTGGTCGAAGATATCGTGCCTGTGACTGATTTCACGAGTTGCGATTGTCTCACCATCCACAGACCCCGGCGACATCATCACGCCAGTCACCGCTTTGCGGCGCCACTGCACTTTGGTTTGTTGTTTCAGCAGTTCCGATTTTCAACCCTGTCCCAGATGTCATAGCCTTACACGCCGTAAGCCTCGATTGAAATGCGAACCCTGGAGGTCTTATTGCGCCTTACTTACTTCCGCTGCGATTTTTTTACGAATCGAGAGCGAAGGGCCTGGAACCTTTTCGCGGGGACTCCCAGTTAAGGGTTTAGAAGCGTTGCTCCAGGGACGCCTTGGGAAGTTTTCCTAAACTGTAAACCCTAGAGCAGTCGCAAGGTGTCAAACATTTCCCGAAGTTGGTTGACTTGGAGTTTTTTGCGTTCATGGCCTGGACCTGGGATTGCCCCAGCCCCGTAACGGCCCTAAAAGCCTAGGATCCCAAAACCTTAGAGCTTGAACTCTGGAACTTGGAGTCCTCGATTCTACGCCGCAATCACTCGAAGTCCTGACTTTACAGGCGTCCCAGACTGGTCGCTGGTCTCAAGTAAAGTAGGAGCTGAGGGCTTCTCAGGGCTTATGGTTTCCCGTTCAGGACGATGTACATGCTTTGGAGCGGGTTTGGGGAGTTTGGTACGGGTTGAAGCTCGTCGACGGTTCAAGGCGTAGGATTTGAGGGGGGGAAGTTACGAGGCTTTCGGGTTGACAGAGACTTGTTTTCCTGTGTAGCTTTGATGAAGGGTTTAGTGTATAATTAAGTTGTAGCAGTAGCATCTCTGACGTACAAGCTACATCAAGTCAGCTTTGGAATCATCTGGGGGCAGAGCAGGGTTTTCCGTAATGCATTTTTATTCCGGCTGTTTTTCTGAAAAATACTCAGGATGAAAGCATCCGCAATTTTGAACATATGCCTCGCAGTCTGGTGAGGTTTCCCAAGCGGTAGTACTTGAAGGTGAGTTCTGAAGCATTCTGAAGCCGCCGAAGCTATTCTGACATCCTGTCCAAGTGCCCCTAAATTCTCAGACAAAGCATCTCAAAGCCTAAAAACCTCAGACCATCGAAGCCTACCATCCACGTTGTTTCAGGACCTGAGCCTGGTGGTGTTGGCCATTGTGGATGAGGTTCGCTCGCTTCTTTCCTGGTTGTAGGATTCTAGAAAGTCTGCGGTTCTGCAGGGTTTCGGCTTCAAGCACATATTTCCCTTCTCCCAGCACCCAACACCAAAAAACAGGCCCCAGAGAATCATTGAAGTATTTGAGAAGCCCTGGATTGCCAAACCGCGGAGATGCCTGGAGCGCCCAGCACCAGAGAATATGAATAGTCTGAGAATGCCCAACCGCAGAAAGTCCCCTCAGAATCCCTGGAGTGCCCACACAAGCTCACCCGGCTCTCACAGAGTCTTAGAAGACTTCTGGCTTGGCATATGCAGTATGTCAGTATGGCATCCCAGTGTTTGGACCACACCGCCATAGCTTTGCACCATCCTATCATGGTTGAAGAGGTGACATCTCCTCTCAAGTCCCCATGAAATGTGCAAATGCCGAAGAAGCACTCCTAAACGACTCAGTATCCCAAAAGTCTAAACAGCAAAAGCCGAAAGCAGCATAGTGCTTAAACCGAACTTCTAAGTCTGAGCAACAATGGACGTATTGAGCCTACGCCTTTCTACATCTCGGAAGACTAGTCACAGCGTACTTCGTCAACCCGGATGGTAAAACTCATCAACTGGGATGGCACGTGGAATGATAACGCCGACAGAGGTAAGCACTGCGCACTCAAACTTAAAACCGTCGGCCGGAAGCGCTTCCTCTCGCGACCTATTCAGAACCCAGAAGCCTTGAAGCTTTTCATCCCTGAAGCCCGGCCTGGAAGGTCGCCATCTTAATGCTGGGCGCAGATGCCTCCAGTCAGGGTGCTGTGGGAGCCGCCAAGTGGCCCGGCCGTTCATTGTGTTGGGATGTCGGCCACAGATAGCAGACAGCAGTCATTCTCATTCTGGAGGTCGTTGTGGGTATTGCGAGTGTTCGTTCTGGGAAGGCTTTTGTTGGGTTTCGCAAGACCCTGGCTCAGAAGTCCTAAGCCATCCTAAGCGTAATGGGAACAATACGGACGAGCAGATCTGCAACAAATATACTTCTCACCACGGCCGTGGCTAGTATTGACAATAACAAACATCGTGTGCTTGCAGAGTTGGGCTTGCAAGCTTTCGGGCTTGGGGCCGAGAAGCAGGAACAACCCGACGTCCCCGGATTGCGTTGCTGCGAGGAATCCAATCGGAACTTGATCCTCGGGCATCGGTACAGCTTCCCACCTGAAAGTTTCACAAGCACCTTCCCAACTATCTGTGAAACACCGACGCCCTAAGTAGCTCGCACAATCCCAATGCCGAAGCCCTGAGCTCCAAGTCTTGCAAAGGATGCTCAAGATGCTTCGGATCCTACGCTGCGCGGATGCACACGGGCCTTTGGAAGCTTCGGACGTATACCTTCACCGTTACGGCTCTTGTGATTCTTGTTTGTAGTGTCTTTACCAGTGACGAAGACGACGACTACTGCTACTGTTACGTCGCATTATGTCTCCGAATGGTGGCAACACTCGTCAGCCAAATCTCTTGGTATCTTGCAGGGGGAAACATTATCGATGTGGTCTTTGTTTGGTTGTATTGGAAGGTGCAGGTCATACACGTATGCAATCGGTTTTGGGTCATTCTTTTCTCCGGCTTTTGCCGCCATCTCTTGGAGTTTAGCAATTTGCAAGATCCTTAAGGTTGTTAGGTTCACACTCCCTCGAGTCGTTGCGGAAATAGCCTATTCTTTGGTGGCTTGAAGCCTAAACCCTGAACCTAAACACTAAACTGCCTTAAACTCCCAGCTTACGTTTCAGCTGCGGTCGTCTACACGGAAGAACCGATCGAATGAATGGTGCCTCTTGGGCTACTTCAGGGTGGTGTAGCATGCGATCCGAATTTGAGGTGTAGGTTATTCACAAGTTGCCAAAGACTGCCAACGAGGTTCAGGGACACCCAGAACCTGACACCTTCCGGGACGATGCAAACAAATGCGAAGATTGCAGGCGAACCCAACTCGAAACATTAGGCTCCAAAAAGCTTCCTTAGTGCACGGCGAAAGGAGTTTTCCGTGTCTTCCGCTTCTTTCGCCCGCCTGGCGCCCGGAGGGTACAGGCAGCAGAAGATTCAGAGGCGCAATAACGTTGCATCCCCAATCCACACTCGAAGCCCGGCTCTCCGAATCTCAAGAGGAGTTGCAAATCTCCTCGTGCGGCTGAAGTCTGCTGCTTTGGTTTGGGGCCCGTGCTTGGGGTGTGAGTGTATATAACACTGGATTTTAAGGGTTCATATTTACGGGGTTTCGGGTTTAGTGATACGGATGGATGTAAGGATAGCCTCTCAGTACAACTCTGCACGACGCCCTGAAACACTCCAAAAGCAGGAGGCAAGCAGGCTACTCTTACTCTGATGGTCTCTGATGCATCTGAATATCTAGGCCCGAAGTCCTACCAGCTCCCCCTTCTGGGCAATTTTTAGTCTGGTCCTGATGAAGAGGTATTGTAGAGACCTACCGATGTCATTGCAACTCTGCCTACAGAATCCCGCAGCACGATCAACTAGCAGCATCGATTCCCTTTTGGGTTTCTGTAATCCTCACGGCACCCAAGAATACTGGAAACCATATAAGGCTCTAGAGTAGTAAAGGGAAAGGGAAAGGAAGGTGGATCTGTTTTATCCAAAAACATGTTACAGTATCCAGCAGATAAAATCGAATCCGTACACATGCTTTCAATGTCAGTGCAGCTACGTGAAAACTGTATGCTAAGCCTGGTACTCGGTACCCCCAGTCAGATCTTTCCCTTTGGGTGCTGCTAAGGCTTGCACGGTTGGCATTGATGAGCCTTGGCTGCAGATTGAGTTCAAGGTTACGATCATGGGTGTGTATGGCTTGCTGGCACAGGTTCGTGATTTGCAAGTGTTAGGGTTTTGTGAGGGTTGACTCAGGGCCTTTTTTCTCCGAATCCCTGCGAAGACCCAGGGAAGATTGATGGTTCTACTGTAGAAAAAATTCTGGAGGCGTTTCATTGAAGTTCGAGGAAGGGCCGTGAAGCTGAGCTTCAACTTCCCTATGAACCACATCTTCCGATTTTCGGTCGTTGGGGCCCTGGGCTTGCCTCGGTCGAATCCTCTCCCGTTGGAGTCCGACAAGGATCCCCCCAAAACCCTGCCCATTCTGTAGCTTGAAGCCGAAGCACTGCAGTCGCATCGCTCAAGCCCCAAAGAGTCCAAACCCGAAGCTTGACCACGGTCTCTGTTGCCGGAACGCGATGGGGAGGTGAGCGTGGTTTCCCTGGCTGCACCTTGAAATCAGTCCCGGCAGCAATCCGATCCGTCGGCGAGGAAAAATTTGCAAAGGACGTCTACGATGTTTGAAGTTTCCGTACTTCCAGGCTTCGTCTCATCTCCACAACTTGGAATCGGAAGTCTGAATGCTTAGGACGAAGCTCTGATTTCCTTGAAGCCCGAAAAACCCGAGCGTCGAAGCCCTGGCCGCACACCTGTGCTACGCCCTCTGCAGCTTTCTGGAGACCTCGCACCGCAGCCTGGCCAAACCGACACCCTGAACCCAGACCACCTCATCGCCCTGGCCGCCCTGGCTCTAACGGCTAAAGCCCACACCCCAAGCTCCAGAAAGCTCAGCCATGGGAGCCAAACCCTGAGACTCCAGGATTATGGACTCAATCCGGTCATTGCTATGGGCGATGTTCATGCCTTTGGGCGACGACATGGAGTTCTTATGCACGTGTGCGTGTACGTATGTATGTAAGTATGTATGTATGTATGTATGTATGTATGTATGTATAAGCATCTCGGCTCCATGGAGTTGAGCGAACTTTTGGGGTGCCGGGACTCTTTGGACCGGCTCTTCGGCTGGGTTTTTGGTGTTTGGAAACTGTTTGGACAGGGGCTTTTTCTGCTTAGGCGGCTGGCTTGGGCTCCTCTTTGGAACTTACACCGGCACACCTGTATGTGCCCGGACTTGCCATGGACATGGACCCAGTGGCCGTACACGGCGATAACAAGCTTCCCCGCTACCCTTCACGTCGTCTGCTTCGGGACTCTCTGTACAATCTTGTGGAGTACAACGTACTGGGACTCCTCACTCGTCAGTGGACAGACGTACCAGTTGCGGATCTTCGCTGCAGACAGGGCAGACTTCGACGGAGGTGGGAAGACTTTGGTGCTTTTGGGGTTTGGTTTGATGGTTGGCGGCTGCTTTCGGACCCAGGCAGGCTTCAGATTGTGGCAGCCATGTATGAAAGAGATGTCGACTTCGGGCATGCCATGTTCCAAGCAGCCTGCCGTTTTCAGCGGCCGGACCTCGAAACTCTGGATTAGCCTCCCGGCGGTGGCACGCCGCAGCATGAGAGGGGCCTACAAGCTGACCCGGGCTCGCACCGGGCCCGCTATGCATTCGACTCTCCTGCAGGCGCTGTGCTTCTTCATCCTGCCAGGGGTCATGCTGTGCGGGCTTCTGGGAGGAACCGTGTACCTGCTTGGCATTGTGACCCTGCAGGCACTTGCTGGAGGCTCCTGCTCCACATTTCTCCCCGCGACTACTGCCAAGTGCCCTCAGCATGTTCCTGCCGCATCTGCTCTCCTGCCAATTTGCAGCACACTCTTGGCATATCTGATGCACTCAGTACCAGCATGCAGTGAGCGACTCGACATGATTGCCCATGTATGTTTGTTGATGACACAGCGGGCTCAAAGGCGGTGCCCGGAGGCTGGGATCACCCGTGACTTCCTGGAGATGGCCGAGGACTCCCCTGTCGAGGACAACCTTGTTTCGGATGGATCCACGGCATCGGTTCACCCGAACTCGCCCCCACGCGGACCTCCGCCACCCCAGCCCATCCAGGTCCTCCGTGAAGCCTCGCTCAACCTTTCGGTGGCGGTCGGTTCGACGATCCAGTCCATGGGCGGGGGCCTTCGTGAAATACTCACGCATCTGCCCTTTGACTGGCGGACACATGAGGGCATGGTTGTGGAGATACGCTCCCTCCGACCGTCAGACCGGTTCCACCCACATATGATGTGGATTGGGGAGGGCACGCCGCCCAGTGCGTTGTACCCGGCAGGAGGACCGCGCACTACCCCCACGCCTGGTGACACTCTGGAGGCTGCGGAGCGTGAGGACCCAACCAGGGAGGCCAGGGCCACAGACGAGGAAATGACCAATGCGATGCAGGCACTGGAGGCAGACGGCTCCCTGGATGAGCTCCTGATCATGGACATTCCGCGGGAGGTGGAGACGGCCATGGCCTCCTCGGGCAGCAGCGGATCGGGCAGAACGAGCACGTGGCACAGTTCGAGCGCCCCTCCGCCACCCACGCCGGCGACTACCACGGGGACCCGAGCGACCTCTACGACAGCCAAGCCGAGCGCGAAGCCGAGGACGAACCAGAATCGAAAGCACGCCGCCTACGAAGGGTGCATGCAGCATGTTAGGAGGAGGCCCTTTCCTGCCATGAGGTGTGTAGGACAGGACGGCAGTCAGACAGGAACAGACATGTGCCTAGGCGCGGCCGGGACAGCTGATTCTGAGAGCACTTGTCTGTATGGACCGGGCATGTCCTTCTCATCAAGGGGAGCGGAGACTCCCCCGCCACAGGGCACAGGGCACGTAGACCGCGACATGACCCGGGCACCTGCGTGGAAAATGAGGAGATCCACTGTCCTGGGGTTCGTGTTCATGCTCATGCTCTGGCGCGTGTTCCTTGTGCTCTTTTCCCTCTACCAGTCCTTGTTTATGACGGGGCTGGCCAGGTACGGATTGTCCTCGTCCTCGACAATGCGGCCGGTGGCCCTGTCTTCTTTCCTGTCATTGCTGACTTTCTGCATGGCATGTTCTAACAGCTACCTACGAAGGTCCTGGTCGCCCCCTTCCGGTGACCATCCAGATCGACCTCCTGAACACCGACAGGTTAACCCAGGTGCCGCTCGCACCCGTTGCCTCTCCCAGCAACCGGTTCCTACCCAGAATACTGGCAGGCCTGATTTTGAACAAGTTCGCGACACTCCACATGGATGCTGCCTGGGTCCCAAGTCCCGGGGTTGTAGCAGCTATTCGTTCAGATGCAAGATGACTGTGGTTCTGCTGTTGATGCAAATCACGGGTGTTACCACGACTGCTACAACAGATGCGAGGGTTGGCGTCCCACGTCACATTGGGACGCCGGGAGCTCCTCGAGAAGGACCACCTCTCGAGTACGAGGCCGCGAAGCACGGTGACAGCCGTTGCAGTTTCCGCCCTCATGATCAGGGCCCCCGCACCTTCCCGAGGAAGAGAGCCCTCCGACGTGCGATTGACAGGGCGACAAGGAGACCAGATCAGTGTACGTGGTATCGGGGCCGACATGTGCACCTCCGAGACCTGTGCACAGGACAACAGCCCGGACCCAGGACTGGAGCACCAACGAAGGCGATGCGAGCCTCAACCACTCCTTTGAGTGACAGGCCCCACCGCAGACTCAGAGTTGTCACTTGGAATTGTGGCGGCTTAAGTGCCAACACCTATCGTGAGGTCATGGTCTGGATGCAAGACGAGGAGTCGCAAGGCCGCGCCGTGGACATCCTGTGTCTCCAGGAGACAGCATGGCAAGGTGACAGTGAGTTCGTCACGGCTGATATTGGTCGGCCGGGTGCTCGTTGGTATGCCGTGCACACAGGGGCCAAGGACAAGTCGGGGCTGTTGTGTTTGGTGAGGTCTAACTCATCCGTCCTGATGGTCTTCGGCATCGAGCCGTGCTTGCTGGACGCCTACTCCACGTCAGACTCATGCTGAGCACGCCCCTGGACTTGTTGTGCATGTACCAGGTCGCCTGGAATCCGGGCAAGCAATCCCTCGACGCCTCGCACCGCGCTGCCCAACTCCCCCAGCAGAGAGCCAAGGTTTGGAAGCTCGCGACTCAGTGGGCTAGCAGTGTACCCCTTCGGCATGGAATGGTCATAAATTAGGGGACTTTAACACCCCGGCTACATCCGAAGCACCGTGGGTGGGCCCAGGATTGGTCACGCCTTCCTCTACCAGCCCCCAGCAGGATCAGGCCGAGCTCATGACCCTTATCAAGCACATGAGTGGCAGGGTGCTCAATACCTGGTCAAGAGCTGGACATCATGCCCGAACCTTCCTCCCGCCAGGCGCTGGCCTCCGCACTTTGGGGACGCAGATTGATTACATAGTCGCCCGCGGGGACCTATGTGACGCCCAGGCCCGGACTGGGCTGCCGACACAGGCCAGTGAATGCTACGCTGCCGGTGCCTGTGGCCCGAAGACCCACAGGCCGGCCAATCCCAAACGCCTCATACCGGCCCAAGTACAGAAGGCCCTTCTCCATGCGGAGGTGGTGGAAGCACTCCAGCAGTACGCCTACGAGGTGGACCAGCCCCGAGCTTCCCCACCCATCAATGTCGACCACGTGTTGCGGGCAGGCTGGGACCAAGCTCACAGACGCCGACCGCCACAGCAACACAAGGACCAGCACCCACAGGTTGATGCCGACCGTGACACGGCACAGCTCGTCAGGAGGCTATGGTTCTACCGCGCCCAGCTTCGAGCGCGCCCACTTCGGGCGCAATCTCGAGGCCACCCGGCAACCCTTGCGGAACTGTGGGTTGGCTGGCGGTATGCGTGCCGACTCCAGGCTACCCAGCGGGAATTGAGGCGACGTGGCCGCCTGAACAAGATCGCCAAGATTGAACATGCGGTGACCTCAGCCAATGTCTTCCAAGCTGCAAGGTGGTTTGCTCCGAAAACTCGCAAACAACGGCTACAACTCCGCGCCCAAGATGGCAACCTGCAGACGCACGAGGCCGAATTTCATGACATCCAGCAGCACTTTACCACGCTCTACTCGGGTGCCACGCAGGATGGAGACACACTGTGCCGACCTATGGACATCACCCCGGACGAGGTCTGGGAGGCGCTGGGAAAGATCTCACCGAGTAAAGCAATGCCGAGCTGGTCGGCTGCTGTCTGGAAGGCGCTACGAACACAACTCCTCTCCACCGTGGTGACCCAGCTCAACCAGGTGCTGCAGCGGGCCCATTGGTGCTCCCACAGGAGTGGTGCACTAGTGAACTGGTTCTGATTCCAAAACCAGGCAAATCCCTCACATCAGTGGGCCAGCTCCGTCCGATATGCCTTCTCCCACCAATGGCGAAGACCCTAGCGACAATTCTTGCCAGCCGGATGCAACCCTACCTTCAATCATACCTTCAGGAGGTCGCGCAGTACGCCTACGTACCAGGCCGATCCCTGTCACAGGCCTTGGAGCGGGCGATCAGCCATTGTGTGGAAGTGCGCGCCCTGTTGGCCACACAGGGAACATCCCTGTACGAACGACGAGGAGGCACTCGCCTCCCCGTGGTCGGAGGCATCATGCTGTCACTGGACATTACGGGCGCATATGACGCAGTCAGGCGAGGAACTTTGCTACTGGCCCTACAGGCGGCCGCGGTTCCGGCAGAGCTCCGGGAGACCATCATGGCGGTTCACAACCAGGCCAAAATCAGGATTGCCCATTGCGGACATGAAGATACCATCACCCTTGGCGCTGGTCTGCGCCAGGGATGCGGGCTCTCGCCTGCCCTGTGGGCGCTAGTCTCGGGATGGCTGCTCCGTGGATTAAATGTTGCCCCGGATGACATGTCGGCCGAGGTAAACACATCCTACGCGGACGACCTTCTCTTCAAGTGGATCATTCGCTCAGGGAAGGCTCTAGAGGCGGCTTACCGGCAAATCCGCACGGTTCTGGAACACCTGGCCGACCACGGACTACAGGTGAGTACGGCGAAGACGGTGATCCTCGTGGAACTACGCGGAACCACAAGGCACACCATGCCCTCCGGAAGTATGTCGTTTCAATTAAGGGAGTTCGGCGCATGCGTTTCCAGGTCAAAGGCCGAGATGTGGACCTACGGCTGGTGGACCAGCACGTCTACTTAGGCGCGATCATCTCCTACCGCAAGCCGGAACAAGCGACAGTACAGCACCGCATGATGCTCGCCAAAGGCCAATTTGCCCGCCTCAAGCCGGTGTTGAAGTGCCAAGCGGTTCCCCTGGGGCTGCGCATGAGGCTGTGGAAGGCCTGTATACCGGCATGCCTTTTACACGGACTTGACTGTGTTGGACTCACCGAGGCGGCGGCCAAGGAGGTTACGTCTCTTATGGTGATGCAGGCTAGGTCAGTGGCGAGATCCCACAGCATGCACACACACGAGACCAACTCCGACCTCATGCGCAGGTTTGGGATTCTCCACCCGGCAGACTCGTTACTGAGGTCGGTCGGGCACCGAGAGCAACTTGATTGCGAACTGGGCCCCAGACTCCAGCCATCCGAGGCTGTGTGTTTCAGAGTGCTCTGCAAGCTACATCCCCCGGGGTGAGTTCGCAATCTCTTCGTGTTCGCGTTGTCCCAGTTGACAAGATCTTGAATGAAGTGTTTGAATGTGGGGAGTGTGGCCAGAACTTCAGCACCCAGGCAGCCCTCAAAAGGCACATGTTCCTGACACATATGGCAGAGGATGAACAACTTGAGAGACGGGTGGAAGTTAAATCACAGGCCCAGACCTCGCACATGGAACATGCCAAGGATGGGCTACCGTGGTGCAAGCACTGCTTGCGTCAGTTTAACAACTGGCCGAATTTCCACTATCATGTGAACTCTAGGAGTTGTGCTATCCTGCGATCAATCTATGAGGAGGGTCAGCCTGGAGTTGTATTGTCTCATCTCTCCGAAGCCTTAGTAGCCAACGAGGAGATCCTTACCCTAGCCGCTCAGTGCAATTGGACAGACTTGGCGGCACATCAGCTGGTCAAATCCCACCTCTGCCACTGCCCGGAATGTTACCACTGGTCAGTTCGTCCGACGTACGTAAAACGCCATATGCCTGCCAAACACCCTGAACAGCTTGCTACCATTGAACGCTGCGTTCAGTTTGTGAAGGCGAGCAACCTTGGGCTCAGCAGTCCCTGCCGGTTTTGTGGAGAGGAATTCCGACGCAGAGACGCCCACTTGAGATCTTGCGCGGCATTGTTCCAGGGTGCTTATCTGTTTGCTAGACTTGCTAGAGGGCAACCCCTTGTCTCCGGGCATCATGACGCCACCTCCATCGGATCAGGTTCCACCCATGGACCCTCTGCTGGCCGCCACTCAGGAGCTCAAACTCATGGAGACGCTGGTTGAGGACGACGCGGACCTGAGCGAGGAGATGCTGATGGACCAGGGCAAGGGCCAAGACCGTCCGGCAAAGTGGCCACGACAGGGCCAAAAAAGGGCAGGCCGGAAACGGAAAAGGCCGGAGTCACCAAGGGCCACCACGCTCCGGGAACTACTGGAACAAGCCCCCGCGAGGACAGAAGCAGCAGAGAGAGGAAGAGCCGAGCGGAGAGAAGCACCTCAGCCCGAGCGTGCAGAAAGAGATCAAGCACCTCCGGGCCCGCATGGACATGATCACCGCTCTCCTTCTTCGGCACGACAACCAATTGGCTATATGCCGATTGGACACTGCCTTCATGTTCTTTCTCCGAACGGACATGCAAGGCAGTCTCGCGGTGACCTTGTACCGGACAGGAGTCGCGTGGAAAGAGCTGAAGGAGAAACATCCCCAACGGCTCGAGTCCCCCATGAGGGTAGTCCTGATGCAGGCCTTGCTGACCACGGTGGCATCGCGCTTCGAGCAGCTCATGGCGACCGAGGCGTCACGGACGGAGGCGGCGAAGGTCGGCTGGCTCACGAAGGATGCCACCAAGGTCAACGTGATGAAGTGGAGCGCCGAGTCCAAATGCCACGAGGTGGACACCGATGAATTGCCTCTTCCGACGGAGGAAGTGACCAAAGGCCTCATGGACTTGATTGTGTTGGCCAAAACCCCCCTGGTGATCAACCGATTCCATGCCACGAGGCCACTGGCACAGGAATACGAATCCCAGGTGCTACCGATGATGTTGGATGTGGGACTGCGGCTCAAGGAAGCCGACCGAATGTGGGAAATCCTCCGTTCACTGAGCCGATCGGCGATCTGGGTTGCGGCAGGCCTGTACATGAGGCCGGACCGACTGCAGCGCGGAGCACTTGCTCAGCGCATAGCAGCCATGATGGGGCGGGCTACTCCATAGACCATCTACTGAGCCTTAGGCTGGGGAATCCGGGCAATCACTGCTACGGCATTGCGTTGTTCAGGGGGCTAGTGGCGGCGGCCATACGGACCGTCGGCATTGGCAACATGTTTCCGCCGTTGCTGAAATCGGTGGCCCTGAGCATGCTGGGAACCAAGAAGACTTACTTTCTTTGGCGTAACCCCTTTTGGCGTACGCTTCTTCAGGGTTGGCGTAATCCTGACTCCCAGCATGACACGGCTGAGTTTCTGCAACATGTTGTGTCCAAGTGCCCAGTCATGTTGGACACTATCGGGGTACACTGGGCCTCCAGGCGACAGGTAGGGGATCAAACCCTCCAGATTGATGCTGGCTGTTCTGCCCCGCTGCTGCTTAGAGCCCATGACTCGGAGAGGAGTGTTCAGGCCCTTGTGAACAGCTGGCATGCACATGAGGAGGATAGATCAGCAGCTTTAGCGTGTCCGCCTGTGATCATTTTTCAAGTCTTGAGATTCGGTGCTAACGCGAGGACTGGATCCGTGCGTAAACTTAGGTTCATCAAGGTGCAGCCGGATATGGTGTTGAGCGTGCCGTGCTTCAGTGGTGAGGGGATCACGGTTCTCCACGAAGAATATGCACTGAGCTCTGTCATTTTGCATTTAGGTGGGTCACCCAGTTGTGGCCATTATAAGACTCTCTTAGTCGTGGACACAGCGTTCCACGTTTTGGACGACGACAAGCCCTCTCGGACGTGCGGTACTTCCGAGTTGCATCGTAGTTGGTCTGATTCTTACCTTTTTATTTACATTCGGGGCAGTCGTTGATCCGTGACCTCGCTTTCTAGGGCATCCGTGCCGGAGGTCATGCTCCGGAAGGTGCAGGGGATGTGGCAAGACGCCACAGCGGGATGCCGGGGGTGAAATCCCTTGTCCCCCAACTTCGCTCGCAGAGATCGGACCTTTGCAGCGCGTGAAGTGAAGTGAAGTATGTATGTATGTATGTATGTATGCATGTATGTATATGTTTTTGTGGGGTTCTGGATAGTATGGGCCTTGATTGTCTCGGGCTTGTTGCAGGCTACAGGGCCTTACGACAGCAGTCGCAAGAAGCACATGAGCAGCTTCTTTCACATAAGTGCTAAATCTTGAACCTGTTTCGTCAGAGCCTCGATCCGAAGCTTTCGAAAAAATCCGGTTCAAGGTACCTGTAGAACCAGGACTTACATAAGCAATATACTCCAAATCGCTAAATCCAAACCAGGAGTTCTACTGAACCTAAGCCCTCCCAGACGAAGCCCCTGAGAAGCTCTCCACCATGGACGGCGGGCCGGAGAACCCGAAATACACCTTCAAACCAACGAGAAGCTTAAATACAACCCATGAGCCCTAAACCCAGAGCCCACGCCGAGCCCACACCTTCCTCTAAGAGCTTTTCCGAGAGGCCCCTAAAGGCGTCCGGAAGTTTCGGATTTTGGGATTCCGAAACTTGAGGCTCGTCCCCCAGCAAATAGCTTATAGCTTGAAAACGTACTGTCGTGAGTTTTTTGAGCAGATCTTTATACGTAGAAAAAGACCACGATATTCGGAGAAACGTAGCAAATCAGAGTACATAGTATCAGCCATTTCGCGAAAGGGTTTTTTGAGTCAGAGAAGGTGGAATCCACATATTAAAGCATCGAAGATGTGAGCACTTCTTATGAACTGTCGGGTTGAGGTCTGTACTTTGAAGTTTCGGACATGTCGCGTCGCTGCTCATAGAGTTACAGGCTATGGGTTCAGCTTTAGGGCTCTAAGATTTTGGCATCGTTCTGCGGCATTCCAGCAGCATGTAAACGAGAAGGGTCGCTCATTTTGGCACGAAGGTTCCTAAACCCTAAACTTTTGCTACCCCTGTGACCGATGGAAATGAATTGAGTCATCAATGGCAAATTATCCTCTTTTTCCTAAGCTCTTTGTCCTCAAGCCGTGCACGTTTAAAGCGATTGAACTGTGAACCCCAGCTTCGTTCAAGCACCCTGAGCTTTGAGCTTTCCGAGCTCCTTCGTGTAGGCAGTCAGGTTGCCAATTAGGAGGATCCTTTTGATGAAGGCTCCCCCAAAATGGAACCTGAGTATAGAACCCTAAGCCCCAAACTCTAAGCCCCAAGTCACAAAACCCTAGGCCAAGTCCCAAGCCTTTCTTGAAGATCCTCACTAGGCTGGCTCTCATCACCTACGTCTTCGCGGTGTCCTTGACCTCCCAGGCCGGACCCTCCGTGCTAATGGTCGGAACAGCGAAAAGAGGACCGAGGCAATAGTAGTTTGGGTTTAGGGACTCAGGGTCTGGGGATTGAGCTTGAGGATTGAGGGTTTAGAATGACAAACATTCGATAGGGATTTCGATGAGGTTGTGCGTGATCATGTAGAAGCTGCTGCTGTTGCTGCTGCTGCTCCTGACGATGTTCATCATTTGCTAGGCTTAAAAGGGTGTAATGGGATGTGTTCCGGAGACGGAATCCCAAGGTCGAAACCCCCAAATTCCCTAACCAAAGCGCTTGGACGTTAAATGTTCGTGGTTCGAAGTCCAAACATAAGTTTTAGGGCGTAGGATCTAGGATTGCAGTTCAAGAGTTTCGGGCTTACTAGCCAAAGCTTGAACCTTAAAGCAACCCTAAGTAACCCTTGTAGTAGGTGGCGGCCGCATGGGCCGCCGCGTTGACTCTTGGGTTTTTGCCAGCGATAGTTCCAGTCCTTTTGCTGCTTTGCAGGAGGGGCGGGGGGAAAGGGCGGCGATGGGGGGAGGGGGAAGGAGGGGGGAGCTTAATATCGTCTTCCTGTCACATTTCCGCTCGAGTTCGCCATAATGTGAGACGACATGGCGCTCTCTTGGCTTGGTGCTGTCAGCCGTCATCGTCGTTGTGGCAAAACAGCTGAAACGCCAGCTCAGTTGCTCCGCGGTTTGTCTGTGTAACAATGTAACAGCTGACTTCACCTGAACTTCTGGAAAGGTATGTGGGAGAAATAAAGATAGTGACGGGGGAGAATGAATGACGATGACGATGACGATGATGATGATGATGATGATGATGATGAAGAAGAAGAAGAAGAAGATGATGATGATGATGACGATGACGATGACGATGACGATGACGATGATGATGATGATGATGGCTTTAAGGATGCAATAGTTTCCGTGATGCGCGATAACCTTTTTTTTTTGTCGAAATCGCACAGAAACTCAAGATGCGTGCACTTCGTTTGTATGTACGCTTGCTGTGCACCCGCACCCTGATGGAACTTAAACAGTACCACGTATGATAACTCCGAGCCCCCCTGACTCTTGCTCTCAGGCGTCGCTTTGGCTTTCGGAGCAGGCTCCCTCTCGGCCTTTTGCTGCGGGCAATGCTTTGGGGTGTTTCTATGTTTTTTTGTTTAGGGGTTTCAGGGTTGCAGTTTGATTTTAGGAGGTTGCGTTCTTTTCAGGGTCGCAGGGTTGCAGTGTTCCCCAGTTTAGGGTTTAAGCTGTCGGACTGTGGGGTTATGGTCGTGAATGTTGGCGCCTCAGGAGATAAAGGGAGCCTTGAAACCCTGTTGCTCTAGGAATTCTTTAGCGGTGCAGCTATCGCCGTCCCTCCTGCTGTTCCCGACCGCTGCAACCCACGTCGTGGAGGCCTCTTTCATGTTCGCCACCTTCCCCTACGTCAGGGAAGCCCTTCAAAGCCCCAAGGGAGAATCCCTTCAAATAGCAAGTCAGTATTCTGGCTAATCTAACCTATGTTCCTCACTGGACCGCCTCTGAGGCCCGATTCCCATAAACATGCCGTACAAGTCACAAGTCATGTGGGATCAAAAAGCAAGGCTCCAAACCAACGAAGCAGCGTCAAACCACCACGGGAAGATCGCACACTCACGCGCCTTGGCCCTGACACCAGAGCAAAGGCCTGAACCCTTGACCCGAAAACCTATACACTGAGCCCAGCTTTCGCTCCGAAGGTGGATACATCCAGGCCTGGTTGGCGACTCGGCCGCAACAGCTCTGTGAGCGATCCCTGTCTTTTGTCTGGGTTGAGGGTCTGCGTTTCGGGTTTACGGTTTTGGGGGTTCAGCGTTTGGTATTTATTCATGTTATACCGTTAGGGAATTTTTTCTGTGCACACCACCGCTGTGTTCTGGACGTCCTGTTCTTGAAGCCACAGCCCAGCCCGAAGTCCAACGCACCCTGAGTTCCGGAAACTAAGCCGCATATCTCGGCGTACACATCCCTGAACGCTCCAATTCAACACCAATGCCAGAGCGCCCGGCATGTAGGAGCTAATTAGGTCACAATTCAGGACGTTGTTGGAGTCGCTGGCCTAATGAGATTGATAAACAGGCTTCATGTGTAGTTTGTCATGGTCGTCGTGGGCCCGGGATCATTGCCATAAGCCCCATGGCACAAGCCCGCAGTTCCTGTGCAAGAATAGCCTTAAATCCTGAACCTGAAATTGAATCCTAACTGTGTCGAAGTGGCTCCTTGGTGGGTTTCAGGTATGCGTCCCTGGCTGACCATCCAAGTCCAGATGTCCGGGCCTCGTGTCTGAGGAGGGTTGTGGAGGTTAGGGCCTTCAGTCTGAGGCCGAGACTTGTGATTTCGAATTGATGTTTACAGACTGAGGTTGGCTTTGCTGCGTTTCAGTGTCTGTCAGCTTTGGTTTATGGCTTCATGCAGAGGACAATTCTTCCGCTTCTGCCTCAGGGTCTAGAGTCTGAGAGGCGAGAATGGCAGATGTTTTTTTTGCCCTCCCTAGAACCTTGAATCCGAATTGAAAGCAGCTTGGCTGAGCTTAATGGAGCATGGGGTTCCACCATTACCCAAAACCTCAGAAGGAAAATGCATGTAGCCCGGGCACCGTAAGCTTGGAACTACCAATCAAGCCAAATGCTTAAACATGTGTAAGTCCAACATGGAGGGCAACTCCCTAAAACCCGATCTTTCAATCCTAAACTCCCTACACCTAGACCTAAACTACGAATCACACAAGCCTAGAAGCCCTTCGCCCCCAAAAGCATGCAGCCTGCCAGTGGAGGTGCGGAAAGTGTTCAGCAGCTTCGGCTCGCTCTCTTGGCAGCTCGGGGAAATGGTTTAGGGATGTTTATGGTTCGGATGTATGGGTTTAGGGCTTAGAGGTGAAGTGTTTGGGGTTTTGGCTCGTTTTTGCAGGGGTTTGTGGGTGTGGGGGGGGGGTTGTGGCTTCAGGGTTTGCTGTTTCAGGGTTTGAGGGATTTCTTTTGTTTGGAACGGCCGTAGGATTGTAAACCCTAAGCCCAAAACCTGGAAGTTTTCCACCATGAGCTTGTCCAACAAATACATGAAGCGAGTACCGAGGCCGGGAGATGGGTTCAAGACTGAGCAGTCGAATCTAGGGTTTTTGTTTGTTTGGCCGCGCTGGAAGGTGAGATATCTGTAGCCGAGCTTGATCTTTCAGGACGCTCTACACGCTGGCGCAGACGACCCTGGCAGGGGCCTGACTCCCAGAATGCTTCCTGGAACACAGAAGACCAAACCTCGCGCAAAGATTTTGATTTCTGAGCCTGAAATCCAATGCACCGATCTTCAGATCCATGCTGCTGCTGCTGCTGCTGCTGCTACTACTACTACTACTACTACTACTACTTTTACTACTACTACTACTACTACTACTACTACTACTACTAGTACTACTAGTACTGCTACTGCT